AAGGCGCGTTCTGTAGTCGGCAAATTCTGCTCCTTGAAATCCGGCCACATAAAACAGGCATTGTAGACCGTCGAAATCGATGGCGTCGAATTTGGCATCAGAACATCGCGTCCGCACCAGTGTTTCGTAGTTGTTGAAGTCTTGGTGATCGTACTGTATCTTGAAGCACTCGAATCGTCGACGAAACAGCGTTTTGGCAGATCCGAATAGACGATCCATGGCCGAAACCGCTTCTTCCCATGACAGGTCCGACGGCGACTTAGGTGCAATGCGAGCCACAGAAAGGTGGTGGCAGTGCTTCATCAGATCGCTGACTGGCGACGGCGCTCCTCTTTTGCTCGCTTAGCTCAGTACAGTCGTTGTCAAAACACATCTTTAAATCGCTTGAACCATACGTCAAAGGTCTTACCATTCTCCGCATCGAAATTGAACTTGTCGATTCGTCGGCACATGGAGTCGAAGATGCTGTGTTTTGCAGTTGCTGGGCACGCCTCGACCAATCGCTGTTCCATCTTCTCCATCATGCGCAGGAAAGAATCGGCGGTCTCTTTGTGCTGTTGCTGCATGAGCTCGATGGTCTTGTCCTGACGTTCCATCCGGCGTTCCATTAGAGCGAGAATATCTGCCAGCTTGTCCATGAGTCCTTGATACTGATCGCCAGTTGTTGAATCCGGATGTAGTAGGCAGAATCGGCAGTAGAAGAATATTTATTAGACGAATGAACTCAACCACAACAGTGGGGTTTATATACCCCCGATATGATATCAACATTTAGGCGGAAAAACTGTTTCACTTTTCCACAGGCACGGTGTCGGCCTATCCAACACAAACAATACTGAGACCTGGGTTCAATCACCCCATTCGCCCATTATAAAGCCGAGCGATTTCAATTGTTCTCGTCAGTCGAGAGTACTCTCCGACGGCAACGCATACAATGTTTTGTCATTCGCCGAAAATCGGCATCAACAGCAATTTACTCGCACTTGTTGAAAAATCGAAGGTACCAGAGGTCCAAAGGCTTTTGGGGCACTGGAGGCGGTCGTTGATGGAGGCAAGAATCTACTGCTCTTACTTCAGCTGCGGACGTTATGCGTGTCAGCCAGTATGTATTGTGTCCACCCCGTCAAAACCGTTTCTGCTTTCTGTTGAAACGCGCGTTGCCGACAGAATGAAGTAGAAAAACGCGTATAATGAAGGATATGATACAGTATTGTCACTTGCCCGCTCCAACGGGGATGACGGCCAGGAGTCAACCGCCGCCGCTTGAAAACTAGCGTCAACCGCGCGCGGCGGACCTAGCCGGCGTGGGCGGGGTGGAGTCGCTGAGCCTGGCATTTTGCCAAGTTCCGATCAATACGACCCTATCGCCATTTTCTTGTAGCGTTCTCTCTTTTCCTCATCTTCCATCTGCCAAGAACATGTCCAGACAGGTAGACATGTTCAAACATGAAAACATGTTAAAGCATGTAATCGCCGCGCGCGCGTTTATACCCACTTTCGCAGCGCCGGCGACCTAGTTGGCGCGCGGTCCTTGACACACACGCCGTTTCAGACGACTGGTGGAGAAGAGTTGGGCACCGCGCCAAGCGCAGTGCCTCGTGACACGGCCACAACCGTTCCGCACAAACTACATAATACTTAACTCAAGCCAAATATCACTTTGCTATCTGGTTTTCTTCTTGGTTATATTCGAAAAAACCATCGGCACTTTTGAATGGATGACCTATACCGCTCTCCCCACACACCACGGGAAATCTTTGGGTGAAAAAACTGCAAAATGTGAGGAATGTGGTAGAAGCTGGGATAGGAAAGTGGTAGGTTGTGGTTGGGGGAAGGGAAGGGGTCGTCGAGACACCCTTTTTGGAGGAGTCGTTGTACCGAGACCCTCCCGCGAGGGGGGGGGCTTATGACACCGCACTCTTGATGCTGTATCCGTATGTTTGCGGTCCAGCTGTGCAAGAAGTCCCCCATGCTGTCACGATTTCGCCGCCTAACAGTGGGTGATGAGGGCGCAGAGGTCGTCATAAGCTCGAGGAACAAGCACAGGGTTTCTCAAAAACCTGAGAAATTGTAGCTGCGAAATGTTTCCCCAAAAATACAGGAGCGCATTGCTACTCCACACTCCTGCCATGAACTGAAAGCTCTGAATCTCAGTCCTTGAGCGAATACCCAAGTCAAAATCGCTCAATAATATACATACCAAATAGATTCATATTTTAGGAGAACATTACTTTCTTCAGTGGCGACCCTGACAATGTGACAGTCATGGGCCAATCTGCAGGTGGAGCCTGTGTCGACTTATTGAGCATCTGCCCGCATTCAAGAGGTCTGCACTGGAATTTCCTCACTTCTTGTTTTTCTTCCTTGCCTATCAGCATGGTTATCCGCAGTATAGGAAATTTTAAAAGGAAGAAATCCATGAAACACTATAAAAACTATATATTATAGTTAAGAGGTTAGAAAAGCTCATCCTGTGTGAACTTCGGTTCCGGAGTATTTTGGACTTTCATGCCAACACTGTGAGGTCTCCTTGTGTATTTTGCCTAGGGAGTCACCTTGGAGGGTTAGGTGGGTCATATCGCTGACAGAGGTAGCGATAATAGGTTTTCGGATAATCGTGATTCTACAGAATTCGATTCGAGAATTCACTGAAAAACACCTACTGAAAATTTGTACAGTTTTTTGAAGTCATTAGGACCATTCGTTTTGGTTTGATGAAGCCTTTTGCTCAATGTTTGCTCAGAACTACGCCGATGGTTAGTTGGACCGTTTAGATCTCTTCCACAAGGTGATTCCCATAGCTGGAAATGCAAGTTGTTCATGGGCCATACACGACAATATGGTGGAGGAATGCCGAAAGTTCGCCGAGCTGAACGGGATTCACGACACTCGAGACTCTTTAAAGGTTGGTTTCACTCTGACTATCGAATGCATCTTCCAGCCATCGTCACCGTTTACCTCCTAAATGCTGGTCCCGGGTTCTGTGCTGGATTTATTCGCCTCGAGTTTAGTACTTTCAGAAGTTGCAGTGCTGGTCGTGATTCCCTGGAGGAGCACAGAAACTAGCTAAATGACTTGATATTCTGCAGTACCATCACGTTGAATCACCTAGTTCCTGATGCGGATGTCGGCGTATGCCGCCATTTCAAAACCGTGCCCTTTCCACTGCTGTTGCCGCAGCAGAGGGCTCCTACACAACACCCATTCACCACCATGATACCACCTCTTTGGTTACATAGCCCTGCACGCGTCTATTATGTAGACGAGATTCTTACGAAAGAAATACCTGCAGTTGGGTTACTGTGGCGGGCTTTTACTTTACGAACACCTTGAAATTAATCATGCAGAGGATAGGGTAGTGCTAGTAAAAACAGAATCTGTGAAACCTCTCCCGCAAATAGACAGCATCAAATGAGATCTTAGTTTGCTATTGTTGCCCCACTAGGCCGCTTTACGTAGGCTTGGGTAATCGTACCTGGGCTTTTGCTGGATTTGATTCTGCTTTGTAGCGAGGCGACACGAGTCAAAGGGACATAAGTATGACATCTGGCACTCGGTCTGATTCGAGCAGCGCGGTGCTATACGGTGTGGGGGCGGACAAATGCGACAAGTGGCAAAGTGAAATCGTCAAATGCCTAGTTCTACACGACTCAGGAAAAAGCACTTTTCGGGAACGATTTTTTTCCTGGCATTGCTGTGCCATAAACGTTGACGCATGGGGTCAGTGTGTCTTACTATATGAGTCCATGGAGCACCGCAGCCGGTTTTAATGTCCATCCTTCAGCACTTCGGTTCGAGCGAACGAAGCTGGATAGAACTTCAGTCAGTGTCGTGATATTGTGCAGGTGGCGGGGATGGCGTCTGCGTGAAACGTGTCAAGCGTTGGCAGGTTGCAGCTCTTGGATAGGGGCGTTTGATCCAACATTCCTTTGAATCGGATGCCTACCGCTCACTGCCTCACAAGTGTTACCCTGGCTCTGTGTCTGCCTAGTGCTTTTTAATCCTACTCATTTGCGATATTATATGCCTACTGTGCCTGTCTGAAGCGATACTTGCAGGGGTCTCCTTCGGGCGCCGGTTTCATCTTTTCGTCGCTGTTTTCGACTGCGGGGGGGGGGGGGCGATCGTGTGGTAGCTGGCATTGCTTCCCCAAAGTCTCCGTTTGCAAATCTTCGTTCGCTCATAGTGTGAAAACTTGAGAAAGCCCTTGTGAGGCGGGAGCGAGGATGTCTTGAGCTTACATCTTAATAACGTGTCAACTCGGGAAAAGGCTACCTAGAATGTGCGACATCGAATAGGAAGAAGCATGGATTCCCCTCCCGATCGACAGACTGACCTCCTGTTTTTCTGCCTAGCTAGAGGCGGTGATGTCAGGGAGGAGGTATGAAGAAGGTAGAGCGCTCTAACAACAATGTGGACAAGAGTGCCCTTTAAAATTTCACGATCCCTGAGCCGTCTTTCGAATTGTGATCCAAACCCACCATCCCCTCCCTTATGTACGCTTTCTGCTATGTCAACTAGGATATGGTTCTTAAGATCCTTTGAATTTCCCGGAAAGGCAAGAACATCAAAGACAAAAGCCTTCGTCACCCTACCGAGAACATCCTTATTATAGGACTGGCGCCCGTCGCCCAGCCCAACCTTGCAGTTTCGTCCTCAGGAAATTCTGCTGGAAAATAGCCCGTGAGAGTGTCAGTAATAATCGCACAGTTGAGGATCATAAGTAGTTGTCCCCTGTCCTCTGAACTTACTGCTTCCCCATCCGAAGACAAACTTGAACACTCAATTTTCGAGAACCGTTACTGCACCGTGCGAGAATGAATTTTTGGCGCGCTCCGCTCACATGTGCAAGCCTCTTCTAAAATGCTGGAGATGCCCACGTGCCAGTTTCACGTCCGGTAGCACCCGGAGACGTAATGCTCTCTTGAAATTCGAGCGTATACTTGTCTTTCAAAGCTGAGTACTTTGCTTCAGACACGTTCTCTGAAAATTTCTTTCAGATGATTGAAGCACTCCGGGAGCTGCCATCCTCCAGGTTTGCACTATCCCTGATGAGCAACATGGGTAAGACCACTGTGGGAGAGAAATGTCCTGCTGGTCCACGCCTCGACTTCGATTTTATTACAAAGGTTCCGTCAATTTCGATGAGTAATGTTTTTGCGACTGGCACCGGGATATGAATTGTTCAGAACGTAAGCGAGTTACGAAAGGAAGCTCCAGCTAAACCGATGCTTATTGGGTGCAGCTCTGCTGAAGGACTTGTGTTCTGTAAGTTATCAACCCGTTGATCTCTTTTCTTCATGCAAGTCATCGGGCTATATGGACTTTATGTCGGACCACATTTTTTTTGCATTCATAATCAGGTTTTGGAATGGACCACTCGCTTAGCTCGATAATGGAGTACATTTCTTCAATCGTTCCCGAAAAGGAGCATCCTCGCATGTTCAAGAAACTGCGAGAGAAAGTTTTTGAGAAAGTTCTGTCAAATCCGGACGACTACGAAGAAACAGCACGAGCTGCTGTAGAGGTTAATATTTACTTTTTCATTTCGCGACCATCAACTACGTTCCTATTCTAGATCCTTGGCGATGTATTCGTGAACATCGGAATGCAAACGACAATTTTGGAGACCTTGGAAGCACATGATGCTCCTTTGTACTTCTATTCGTTTGATTACTACAACCCTAGAAGCTGGGGACCACTATCACTGCGATGGCCTTTCAAAGGTGTGTTCATTTTATTACCGATCCAGTTCATATTTTCCATATATCACAGTCCATACAGGGGGGCCAAAAAAAGTCACTTCGACCGAGTCACATATCAGCAAAGTTTTCGCAGCCCAGAGAGAAGACGTGGATACGAGTACCAGGGCGGAAGATACCCAAGATGTTCCTCGATAAGCAGGAGCTGGCTCTCGCCCATCACCTTCATGTACACCAAAATATGAAGTCATCTCCTGACTGGAGAAGACCTTTGGAATTCATGTCACCTCCAAACAGCTGCGAAACTTCTAGTATGGAGTCACCCATGGATAGCTACCTGGAGACCAGTACTCTCGATCTGGAAGACCTCCAACATCGAGCAGCTCCGACAACGTCGCTACGGTCTAGGACATCATCTTCACCGCAGTCGTCAAGGCGCGGGTTGATGGTATGGACCGGACGTACCTGGAATGGAAAGACCAATATTTTCTTCGTGGACCCCGGACTGAAGGTGAGCGCTGGCGTTACATCGAGCAACTCGAGAAGAATATCCTCCCCACATGTCGTCGCCCGTACCTTCTTGGAAACTTTGTACTGCTACAGCATTGGGTGCCACCACATGGAATCGAATG